GATGCGTGGGATCCTACGTTATACCTGGCTAAGCTTCAAATATGCGCGGCTTGATTGGTACTTGTCCCAATTTCTCAGTTATTACTCAATTTGCTGGAGGGTTAAGGACGAATCGGATTTATAGCGGAACTTCGATGAAAGCGTGTATCTGTGAGAGGAGAAAAGTGGAGCGCGTTACGTTAGCTGCGAAATGGTTGTGGAGAGCCAGATGAAGTGAATACACATTTAACAATATATGATCAACGCGTGAAAAGTGACGAGTGCTGTGCAATGGATTGAAGGGCATTCTTCACTTTTTGCTTTGTTCTGTTCAGTTGACTGCTGTTTTTCGCTCCAGTTTGCGATCACAAACTTATTACAAAGGTGCTGAGGTGCGGGCGAAGTCCTAGGTTCTGATCCGGAATCGATCCCCGACTGCCTTCGCTTGCTTGCCAGTATATTACTGTTACACCCTTAGGGCCATGTTTCACATTATTTGAACCTTTTGTGATGTTTAAGTCACCCTATCAGTAACCACATTTATCACTTGGTGAACCGGTGAGCCGCCATCGATAATGAACAGCGATGCTGAAAGCTGTGTCGTTTTGCTGGCGAAGTGCTTTCCCCACCATCACTTTGTTTTGCGCTATCAAATCCTACCTTCACCGTAATATTTTTTCTCATTGATTAGAAACGTTAGGTTATAAGAAGGGAGAAGGGGGCAGAAAAATGTTGTTCGTCTTCACGGTAGTGTCAGCTCATAGTTTCGTTGTACATCGAGCTCTGTTTCTGTTTCGCTGTGCTCTAGCTTGTCCGACGATCAGTCCTGAGTTCACATTTGTTTGTTCTGTCTAATAATCTTTTCAGGATGAAATTGAAAGAGAGAACTCATCAGACGTGTACACGGTTTTGATAAGCTGTGTCCTGATGATTGGTTATGTAGCATTTGCACTTGGACAATATATTGTAACAGATAACAACTTGCTCTCGCTATTGGTACATTCGAAGATCATAGCTGGTGTTGCGGGTGTTGGAATCATATTGTGCAGTGCAGCAAGGTGAGGGAATTCATAATTCGGTTTTTGTTACGTTTTTTCTGGCTCCCCCACTTTCTTCGCACTGGGGCTCGGCCGAGTTAATGCGTTGATGGAGCGTCTTCAAACGTACCCGCACTACCAACTCGTCCGCGCCCCGAAGTGTGAAGAAAGACTGGTAGCCGTTTTTTCCTGTGTACAAAAACTGAATTTGACTGTGGATATAGTTGTTGGGATGTATCGTAATCATGCCATAACGAAAGCTTGATATCGCAAGGCCTGCAAGCTTCTCAGTTCGGTTAATGGTTGGGTTTCGCGATTAGTTGCCTTTATTTTGCGGACGACAAACAGATGTACCGAAATGCATATGGACCTACATAGTAATCGACACGCTAAATCAGCGATTTATATAAAAGAAGGATTGAACATGATCGCTTTGTGCTGCTTCGCTAGCAGCTGCAACGCCGTGGCGCTTTCGATAATAATGAAAATTGGCTTTGTCTTTCTGGTTATAGTAATTGTTGATGGCGGTTACGTTTGTTTATACGTTTGTTTTTTCCCGACATCCCCAATCGTAGACTTTAGCCTTTTATTCAGCAGGGAGAAAAACTTTTCTGGTTGTGCTGACAGTCGTCGACGGTTTTATCGTGTAGTTCTTCTGTTTTACCATCGATACATTAGTTTTGAGGGTGTGGTCTCACTGGGTGTGGATTGCGCCAACTCATTCACTCAGACATGTTTTTCTTGATTAGCACGTTGACGACAGCATGACGCGCATGCGCGTCAGAATTTCACCCGATTCTGGCTAGTTTTTTTTCGATTTATTTGGCATTTTTCATATTTCAAAACTGTGTGCATGCATTATCTTATCCGAAAAACTGTGCATCAATTACCAGTAGTGGAATTATTGAAGAAGTTATGACGATTGTGAAAAAAATAAACAAAAAGTGCCGAGGTACACGCACAAGGGGCTGTCGTCAACGTGTTAATGTCTTCAACCGTTGCAAGTATACTCGATATCGGTGAGTTGGGGTGGGCGTGTCACCGGAAGTGACGTGCACTTGATAGAAGCTATGTGGATAAGCTGCTTCCAACATACATCGCTGGATATCAGCAAAGCATGCTGGCAACAGCTTATCCACGCACTTCTATCAAGTGCACGTCACTTCCGGTGACACACCTACCCCAACTTTCGGATATCGACTGTATATACGGATGCAGGAGTTATCGTTTAGTTCAACAACCACCAGCAAAAAAAAAACAAAAAAGTACGAAAATGTTGCCACAGTATTTCCTCGTCTTTTTCGTTTCCTTCAGCTTTAATCATGATAACTTGGAAGTCTCACTTTATCTTAATTTATGCTTGGTAGTATGAGCAGGCTAGACGTTTTCTGTTACTCGTCTTCATGCCTCAGGACTGGTTCTATCGAATTTTTTTAGTGGTTTGACTTTGAAGTAGGAACTTCTTTTCTGTTAATATACGTAGCACTTTATATTTTCGCATCTATGAATTTGGCTCCTATATTCACATATTTACAGCTCTATCGGAGTATTTTCTTTGTATGGCATCGGGACATCGAAGGCGGCTCTCGTAGTGCTTGTGTTTGTAGTTTTGGCCGTAGGAGTGAACAGAACCTTCATTATTGTGCAAGCATATCAGGTTTCTTATGAATCAATACTTTCTTTCCAATTTTGGATTTTTGTCGATCTGATTACTATTCTTATGCTTACATTCAGAGACTAGAAGACACCACTGACCAGTCAGTAGAAGATCGAATAGCCCGAGTATGTGGTCAGGTGATGCCTTCGATGCTTTTGAGCACGCTAACGGAGAGCTTATGCTTTTTTGTTGGTGAGATTTGTGGTCCAATTCCCTATTTTTCAATCTTCTTCTTGTAAAAACACTCCGTTCAGGTGCCATTTCTGATATGCCGGCTGTTCGTGGATTTTCATTGTTTGCTGGACTTGCCGTAATATTCGACTTTATCTTCCAAAATACAATATTCTTAGCCATCTTTGTATGGGATTGCAAACGTGAAGAGGTAGGCATCCTTTTCTTATAAATAATGGCGAAGTTTCATATTTATGGGCTCATTCGAGTCAGAGGTCTACTGGAAGTGTTCGCGGTTTAGAATTCGATATGCTGAGACGTCTGAAATCTAATTCACGAGTTTTTCGTTTTCTCCCTATCAATTATGCTGTGTTGTGCACACAGAAAAACTCTTTGGAGAGTGGGGTCTTATTCAATAAGCAAGCTTCAGATTATAAATTAAGGAGTGAAGCTTTCTCCCCTTCTCGCTCCCCTTGGTTGTGTGATGATTATAAACGAATGGCCCATCTAGAGAGAGAATCCAACTCGAAAATTGGACACGTGAAAATTAAAACCGCCTCTCTGAGGTCTAATCTGCACTCATTGTTATGCAGTCATTTTCAGGAGGGAAAACCGGAGTTAATGTATCACCGTAAGCTTGATACAGAACGAGTTGAAAGTGAGGGCTATATCTATGAAGTGATGCAAAAGTATGCGGCTCCTCAACTAATGCGCAAATGGATGCGTATGACGGTGGTATGTTTGGTTACTTTTTAGAGCCTTGTCACTTACCGGATGGCGACGCACTCGTTGCCCGCATATCACACACAGATTTTGCGGCAATATAGAATGGTGCGACGTAAATTTTCAAATCTGGCCCGATACATTATGAATATTTGACCCTAAGCTAGACTATGCGCCATTAATATTTACTCTCCCTTACTTCTAGGACATGTATCCAGCTTTTTCCCGCTCTCCAAGACACTTCTCGTAACAGAATTATGAGAATTTGCAAGAAATGCTCTGCGCTCTGCGCTTCAAGGCACGCCCGCTTCATGTATGCTGAAATCACCTTAGACATTGCTTCACTACACCTTTTTTTTCTGCTCTGTAGGCTTTCTCCCAACCGAGTTATGAAATTTTTCATAAAGCACTGCTTTTTTAGAGAACGCCCCGCCCACCGGGGGTGGGTCTCCCTAATTCGATGTGACTTACCAATGCACACCTACCCACTTTTTCCCAGTTTCGAGGCTGTTTTGTCACTGAAATTGAAATCTTGGTCTCAGTACAGTTCATTTCGACGCACGCCACGCCCACTGTGGGCGGGGCTCCGCTTAGCTGATGTGTGTTTTGTACTTCTCGAGACCTGGCCCACCATTCCCACATTTGACCTGGACCCTCCAGGCGGATTTCCAGGAGCTAGAGAATAGACAAGCGCATTGTAGTAAGTAGGATAAAGTCACATTCAGACCAATTAGGCTGTCT